AAGATGTGGCCTCAAAACTCCACATGGACTCTGCCTGTCCAGCAGAGGTTATATTCAGCAGGTTCTGACCAGTTCTGGAGAACCAGTAGCAGAAATTTTGAGTAGTTCAGAGAACTGGCAAATACCGCCTCTGACTGGAGATTTTACAGTGTCCTTCCCCTGCCACACCCAAGCCACACTCACAGAATTGGTAGTAAAAAAAAATTGAATCTCACCACTGCTGTCCAGGATATTTTCTAACTCAAGAAATATGAACTCAGCATCAGGGAGTTATGTACTTCCTGTACTGAATGAAGTTTGCTGGAATGAGAAGGCCTTCCTGAGCAATGGTTTCTTTTTCAATCCTTAGTTATTCTTTGGGCTTGGGTTATGTTTTAGTTCATAATCCCATCCCTCATCTGGCTCAATTTATAACTCATAATTTTGTGGCCTTGGCCTGGCTGGTGGGGCTGTTACTGTTTTTCAACCTATCTGGTCCCAGTAAACATGACAGCATGCATATCATCATTGATATACTTAGCTGCTGTGAAAAGACAGTGTTTTAAATAATTCAGGATTAAATCCATCAGCTAATATGAAGCAAAAAAGGAAAAAGTTGCATGCATCAATGCCCATAAATCATCAGTTTGTGTGAACAATCCAAACAAATTGCAACATTTATTCCAGAATTCCAGATTATTTCATCTGTATCAAATCTGTCCAGACAATTATTACTTTTCCCTTTGTTCTGAAATTTGTCTGCACAGAAGCACATTAGAAAAATATTTATTTTTTTAAAAAAAGTTTTTAAGCTCAAGATTTATCTCTTGTCATTCTACTGGTAGGTTATTCAACCTGGCTAAAAGATCCATTAGAATACATTGCATCTAACTAGAGAGTAATGAAATAATTTGCATAACTTGTTCTCCTTCCAAATTACAATCAGGAAGGAGAAAAGGGACAAATGTTTTAAGATAGTGGCAAGATATTCTCTTGCAAACCATATACAGATAATCCTTGACTTACAACCATTCGTTTAGTGGCCATTTGAAGTTATAATGGCAATGAAAAGAAGTGACTTATGACCTTTCCTCACACTTATGACCATTGCAGCATCCCCACTGTCATGTGATAAAAATGTGGGCATTTAGTAACCAGGATATATTTATGATGGTCGTATGGTAGCCATTTGTGACCTTCCCAGCTAGCTACTGACAAGCAAAGCTAATGGAAAAAGCTGGAATTGCTTAACAACTGCAGTGGCTGTGAAAAAAAATGGCTGTGAAAAAAAAAGACTGTAAAATCAGCTGCAACTTACTTAACAACCATCCTGCTTAGCAATGGAAATTCTGGTCCAAATTGTGGTCGTATGTTGAGGACTGCCTGTATGTACTTCAATGTGCACTAATAGCAATAGCACTTAGACTTATATACCTGTTTACAGTGCTTTACAGCCCTCTCTAAGCAGTTTTACAGAGTCAGCCTCTTGCCCCCAACAATTTGGGTCCTCATTTTACCCACTTTGGAAGGATGGAAGGCTGAGTCAACCTTGAGCCTGGTGGGATTTGAACTGCCAAATTTCAGGCAGCTGGCAGTCAGCAGACGTAGCCTGCAGTTCTGCACTTTAACCACTGTGCCACCGAGAGTCTTTGATGGACAAAATTCCACGTGCAGAAAAGCATCTGCAGTCAGATACACATGTAGATGATATGTTCAGAATTTCTGGAAATCTTTGGGGGAGTTTATTTATTCTGCTGCTATCAAGCTCAAATGAAGTCTTTTTTTTAAAAAAAACAGGTTAATTCTTTGGACATGAAATTTTGATTTGAAATTTGGACATGTGACCTATTCTCAGGAGGAAGTTGCACATTATCGGCAAGCTGACACATCCACACCCAAACCCTTAAGATCTGAGAGCTAGATTGTTTTAACATAAACATATATAATGTGTGCATGTCTTTCTCTCTCTTTCTGCACGGATATATATACACTGTAAAGCATTGAAAATAAACTAGCTCTGAAATTAACTCCACCCAATCATTTTATTTTACACTATTATGAAAGCAGCTTCATTCAAGCAAGAGTCTAATTATCCGTCTCTTCAGCTCTGATGCAATCCATATCTTTCATTGGATCTGGGTCATATCATTTCTCGGACTGACAAGTGTCCTCGGTAACCTGAAGCAAAACCATTAAACATCTTATTTGTTTTTGTTGATGCTGAGGGCTGGTCCTGGGATGAAAGGTAACAGTTTTAGAGTGCAGAAGGCATAACGATCCTTCAGGGGGGTATTCATGTTATAAAAACACTTGACCCTGTTTGAAAGGCTGACTGGTACCTCTCAGATCTTCAGATTAAAAGCTGTTTAATATTTGTCCACTTTATGCCGAAGAACAACATGCAAACTGTTATGTAGTCAAAATCACAGCATCCATGAAGAAGGAGGTGATAGCAGAATTAGGGGATATCAAAGTTCTTAAAGGAAATATTTATATATTTAAGATATAAACTTAACATATACCTCTCCAAACTTGATTGCAGAAAGTACAACTTCAGCAACAGAGAGGTCAATGCCTGGAACACACTACCTGACTCTGTTGTCACATCCCCAAATCCACACTCCTTTTCCCTCAAACTAACCACTGTTGACCTCACCCCCTTCCTAAGAGGTCTGTAAGGGGCATGCATAAGCGCACAATTGTGCCTACCGTCCCTGTCCTATTGTCCCCAATTATTTGTACCCATTTTATATATTTATACTTATGCTTATTATCTTGTAAACTATTGACAAATAAATAAAATAAATATCTAGTTTAATGAAAAGAAGGGCTGATGGGGGGGGGGGATGTGACAAGATAGCAGGGTTCCAATATTTGTGCAGTTGGAAGAGAGGGTCAACCTATTCACCAAAACATATGAAGACAGGAAAAGAAGCAACGGATGGAAAGTACTCAAGGAGAGAACCATTTCCTAAAAATGACAGCAATTAATCAGTGTGACTAAAACACTCATTCACAGTCACAGCCAAGGAACTTATGGCCGTTATCCTCGAATGCCATGTGAACCCAGGAAAAGACATGGTTCTTTATGGCACTGCAGAAAATGCTCTAGCCATAGTTCCATAGTGCCAAAGCTATTTTGGAAACTGAATCCAAAGTATTGGACAGCCCTACTAGCATGGACTCTTCTGCTTTCCCCAGAGACAAAATGAAACTTCAGGAAAGAGGACAAACAACTGCGTAAATTATTCAAATCTAGCTTTTCTACGGAGAGACAGCTTTAAAAATTAAGGCTTCACAAATCATTGAGCTGATATTTCAATTGGATAAAAGTTGCGTTCTCCTTGACCATAAAAGCCCCTTTCAACTGGTAGTGTTAGAAGAGGCCTTGTGTGTATATCTGTGTTTATGTGTGTTTCTATGCAAGTGAAGCAAATTGTGATACTTTCTGGTGTTTCACTGAAATACAATATAGCACAACCAACTTCTAAAAGCCTGGTAGAAATTTTCTTTCTTTTTTTTGTAAAAAGTTTTATTTTTATTTTTTGACAACAAACATGAACAAACATGAACACAAAACAACAAATAAAACCTTCTTTCATTTGTACAGTGTGTTGGTTGGTACATATTTCTTGTGCACAATATCTCTGATAGAAATTTTCATATCACTGACCTATATAAACATTGCAGATTTCTGCGCAATTTTTGGTGGATTTTTCTGGTTTTTAATATTTACTTCCAGTTTCCCTTTTTAAAAAAGTGTCCATTGGGGAAAACAGACTTACTTAATAATCACAATGTTCACTTAACAACCACTGAAAGAAAAGTTATGGAATTGGGAGCAGTCGAATGCTAACATGCTTAACCACTTAACCACCTCCATAAGTTATGACTGTAATTCCACAGAATGGAACAACTTGCCACAGGCAACTCATCGTGGCTAACTCATCATGGGCTGTGAGACAATTTAACAATTCTATTTATTTAAAATAAATAAAAATTTGTTTTAATTTTTGCCATTCACATTTCATCCTGTCCCTCCTTTTTTAATGATTCTATTCCATCATTTCTTTGATATTAGTGTAATTCTTGTCCTGCGATGAGTTGTCCTGTGATGAGTTAGTCATGGCGAGTCATCCCACAGTGAGTTGGCTGTGACAAATTGGCCATGGTGAGTTGGCCATGGCAAATTGTCATAATTCCAGGCTGAATTACAGTTGTAAATTGAGGAATACCTGCATCAAGCATTGATAACCAGACTGGGGAAAAAGAGTTCAGTACCATTTATAGTGAGAAGGTGGGGGGAATCACTGCAAAAGTCTTATATCTGTGTCACCAGGCAGAAGCAATTAAGAGGTCAAAGAGAGAGAGAAATAAATAAGATTTAGTGCCTACATCCCTTCAACCTTCTTCCCCATCCGCTTTGCCTCCCTTCACAAGGTTTGCAACCAGAACCCTTCATTTCCTCTTGTGTTTCTATTAGCCAGTATTTTCAATTCATCAGCATCAGCTATGATGAAATTGGTGGCAGATATTCCTCAAAAGCAGCTGGGACTCTCCCATGAGTCTACTTGCTTTCGCTAGGGAGAGTTCTTAAAGTGACTAGGGCTGGAATAGCTACAGGTGAGAACAAACCTAAACTGAGTGTTGTGGAAGGTATACAACTTCGTGGTGCATTAAGAAGGATATTTTGAAAAAAAGTGTGGAAGGATCTGAGGTTCCTGTATGCAGTTACATGTGGGCATCTCACTTTGGAGTGTCAAATCAGGTACACATCTCCAGTTGGTGCGATGTCTCTTGGGGATTTTCCTCCTCCCAAAATGGGAGTAAGCAAGGATTGAACATGATAAACACGGAGAACAAAAACCTTCCACAATCTATGATGGAGGTTATCATTTACTGTCATCTCGTTTATTACCTGCAGCGTCAGTGATGAGCAACAGAGAGATACTGCCGGGAAGGAAAAAAAACCCCCAAAACAGACAACTTACTTACTTAACAGCTGATCCCACATCGCTTACCTGGAATCGTCGCATATCTCGAGGGTTTCCTGCAGTCTTCAAACAGTTCTGGTTGCACTTGAGGAAGAATTTTAAGAAGAATCTGCAAGGGGAGAAAAGAGAAGGGACTTGACACCTTCCGTTTTTAAGAAATTAAAGTCTGATATCATTTAGTTGCTTTGTGCCAATGTGTTTGTGCCCTGTGGCTGGAACCATCAGGGGGATCTCAACTGCCTGTCGAAAAGGAAACTGTCAATTAAAACAGATTAAAATGACATTTCTGGCTGCATCCATAAAGCAAGATCTGAAATGTTCGGGAATCAGAGATTCTTCCAAGCTTTGTCACCCTGAAGCCATATAAGGAAAGATAGAAAGAACACAAACAGAATGAATTTATATATGCAAATATGCAGTCAGAAGCGCAGCAAACATCTCATTTCCTTTTCCCTGAGTGTAAAGGACATTCAGACATTACTCTGTAGGAAAACTGACTTCCTCTGGGAAGGTCCACACCGAAGCTAGAACTCCATCAGGATATACGTTTATCTTAACGATAGAGACGTTTTCAGGGGTGCAGCTCAGTTGTAGAGCTCTTTGTGGGGTGAGAAGAAAGTGAAAAATCTATTTACAAAGTTCAGTTCCCTCAAGTTAAGATCTGAAACTGGCCATAGAATTGAATTTGATTATGTTTACTTTCATGTTTTTCTCAAAAAAATATTTCTGTTCTGTAAGATTTTCACATTAATGCACATATTTGTAAGAAATCTAAACAAAAACTGCCTGTATGTTTGACACCATTTCTCCAAATGTGCATTTTTTTCCTCTTTGCTTCTTTTGTTTTTCAAATACACCAATCCAACATTTTGTAGAACAGGTTCATATTTCCTTTCGCCGCCTCATGTATCCTCATTTTTGTACTTTCCCTAATTTTGACAACATTTCCTCCTAATTTATAGGCATTCCCCACATTCTCTCTGACTTCCAGCCCATGCATATTCTGGAAAATATGCCTTTCTTCCTTTTGTGAGCTTCATAAAATTTAGCAAAGGAGCATGCATAATGCAAAGGAAAGATAACATGAAGAAAAATCAATGACATCCAAAAGCTACTATGGTTGGGATGTTGAGTGCCCGTCAGGGACAAAGGGTTAAACTTCTACCGAGTGTATTATGTTCATTATGTAGCCTTGGGCAAATCTCTGCATTTCACTTTAAGGCATTTTACAAAACTTCTGGGAATTTAAATTATAGAAATTCATACATCAGTTGCTCACAGAGCCTTCAGCCCACATATATTCTAGAGGGTTGCCTTATTTTGTGCTGTAAGGCAACATTTATAATACTCTTTTAATTTTATCTTCTTGATTCTACTATTGTTGGAAATTGATACATGGTATTCTCAAGTCTATCCCTAAATGTCTATCGAGATTGTCAATCACCCAGGTCATGGTTGTTCCTGAAGAAGTTTTTTTGGGATGAGAAATGGAATATTTTTAAGGAAAAAAACAAGGAAATCCAGTTGCCTTTTGGAAAAGCACTTTTAGGTCAGGTCCAAGTCTTTAAATATCATAATACCATCTGTATGCATGCAACTTTATTGTGTTGGTTGAATATTCATGCAAGGGGATGCAAATTTGTGATGTGGGAATTAGGGTGTGGTTCTGCTTAAGAGCTAATATGTTGGATTAAGATAGATGAATCCTAGATTAAAATTCCCATCAGGAAAGTGATAAGCTTCTATTAGGTCAGGTATTATTTTTGGCCAAATAAGTGGAATTGTGGTAGGATAAATATGAGTGGAATCAGTCTTAAGAGATGGTGGCATCTGGCCAAATTTGTCTAGGCTAAAAAAAACAACCTGATGATTTAGACTTGGTTAGTACTTAGATAAGAAATCTCCAAGAAATGCAGAAGGAGGAAGGAGTAGTAGTAGTAATAGTAGCAGCAGTAGTAGTGGTAGTGGTAGTAGCAGTGGATACATTATTGGAGTCACTGAAGATTAAGGTTTAATTGAAGAATAAAATAAAAATATACTAATAAATATGAAGAGGAATGTTGTTATACAACATATTTGTTTTCATCGGGTGAAGCATCAATAGTCGGACATTTGAAAGTTAGCTGAAGGTGTTTTCACATGCCCAAGCTAATCAGTCTTAAAATATTTTATGACTTCTTTAGTTCATACAACTGCCTCCATGCTCTTAAATTTTTAACCTTTGTTTCTAGTCCATTTATTTGAACTTAATTTAAATTTTATTATAAGCGTTTTACTTTTTCTAATGGTACTTATACTTTATGGCCTACTGCCTAGAGAATATTTGTTCTGAGTAGGAAGAAGGTACTGTAAATCAAGGGTAGGTGAGTTAGCACAGAGGCCCTCGGCCAATTTAGTTCTTGAGCAAATTCCAAGCTTTTTGAGAGGAGCTTAAAATCCTTGGTAAGGGTTCTGTGTCTACTGCTTGAAAAAGAAGATAGAGAGAGTAGGAAAGAAAGAAAAATGGGAAAGTCAGAAATAGACAGACATCTCTGTCTCCCTCTCTCCCTCTACTTTACAGTCCTCAGCAGAAACAACACTGTCCACTGTTGCTGTAAATAAAAGTCATATAAAAGAAACATATTAGTTCTATGTTATTTCATTTACTCATGTTTTACAAGAGAAAAGCCCACTTTACTACTCTGGAATCCTCTCGGTAGTAAATGTTCCAAAAAAGAACAGATGAAGACAAGTACTTGAGACTTGTGCTTTCAAAAGGCCAGATGCAGAACTACTTACAGAGTCCTTCAATCACAGAGCAAAATAACTCTGGCAATATGTAAATGGACAACACTGGAAGACTTCCTATCAAAAGGACAGCTACTTTCCAATAACTCACTATATTATATTTTGTTGCCGTTCAACATCACTGCATATAAAGTTTTCAGGAAAGATTCCATTATCAGTCAGAATATAGTTATTAGTATATATTTCCTCTGTTAACTTTCCTCTTTATATATAGAATACATGCCTGGAGTTATCCTATCATTGGTATCTTATTTTCCCAGGAGTCTCCAGGTCTATGTACCCCGATCAGCCTGTCCCAGCCTTGGGTCTTCTGATATGCTAAATGTGCAACAGCTAGAATTTCTAGGAAGTTGGAAATTCTGAAGGTACAACCTCAAGCATCTGGAGAACACTAGGGTGGTGAAGACTGGCTAGAAACAAATGCAATGGAAATATGTTGGAAATAAAATAATAAATGTATAGCTTTAAACCAAATGTAAATTGTTTTAAACTTGATTTTAAAAAATTGTTTTGTAATAGAATTGTCAAAGTTTGGAATATTCTGCCCAATATAGTTGTCTCAGCTACTAATTTTCATAGTTTTAAATCCAACTTAACTTCAATGGACCTCATCTCATATTTAAGAGGTCCTTAAGCAAGGGTGGATCAGTGCACTAAATGTGCCTTATTGTCCCTGTCGCATTTTTCCCATTTTGCTTGTTTGAATTTGTAATTTTTGTTTGATGAATAAGCATTAAACAAACAAACAAATATGAAATAAATATGTTGGATGTGACTGATTGGAATTTTGCCCTGTAAGCCGTTCAATTAAAAAAATTAAAGGAAAACAAAGCAAGAGCTAGCCGGAATAGGTAGCTACATTTAATTAAATTTGGTTATTCCCCTAGAACTTAAATAAGAGAAACTTGCAAAATCCAAGGAGGATGGATTGGGAAATAAAAACAAACCATTGAAGACAATAATGGCAAACTATTTTCATACTGCTGCCATGGACATGGCATGTGGTGATCAAGACTCAAAATCAACTTGAAGGAAACCTTTTAGCTGTTAAACAGATGCCAAGGCAATCCATGGCAATTGATGTTCCATTTTGGGGGCATGCTTGGGCTACAGGGACTTGTATTCTGGAGCATCATTTTTGTGTTAAATATATGACCTGACAAAATCTCAAAGCATTATGCCTAGCCACAATAGCTATACACTACAATCCAAAAGTTGAAGGTGAATATGGATGGGTGGGGTGGACAAGAAAAAAAAATGGCATCTTGCAGATTGAAGGATTTGACTATTAACTTTTCAACTGGTATCTGCATAAATATATCCAAAATAAAAATGTGTTTCAAGAAAAATGGATTTTTTCCAGTCGTTATAAACTATGAACGTTGTTCCATAATTTGAGGGTGTGGATCTAATATCTCCAACTGAAACAGCAGGAAAGTATTCACACAATAAGGAGAGCAGGGAGTTTAAAGTGTGAATAGCATTTTGTTTTGTAACCTACAATCCTGCACTATATTAGCTATGCATGGGGAAACTGTAAAACTGAACATGGCCTCAGGGGGTCTGGATGAGCCACTCTGGGCTCAGGAGCTAAGCAGGGTCAAGCTGGGTAGCTACTAGGAAGAGAAACTATCGTGCAATACTAAGTCTTAAGGCTGGACTGGGGTATTTAAGGCATTAGGCTAGATTAGGAAGGCAAAAAAGCACCCTGGAAAAGCACACTCACAAACCATTGCTCCTAAGCAAATTATGCGCAAAAGGGTCTCAAATGAGCATTTACATTTTATCTGAACTTTGCCAAAATTAGAAGTGTAAAAGCCAATCGAATTGATTCCGCTAAAAAAAAAACACATATTATTCAAAATGCTGCAGAGCATAGATTCAGCTCTCTGTTTGTTTAGAACTGTCTTTCCTCTATTGTACTTGGATTTTTTTTTTTCTGAGAGAGATGATGTGGGGTGTGTGAGAGAGAAGAGGGGGGAGAGAAAGGGAAGGGAGGAGGGGAAAGAATGTGAGAAGAAGAGTTTATTCCGGCATTTTAGTGGCGCATTTAAATTGCAAGCGGGGGGGAGCCCACAGATTTAACTGGGACACAGAAAATTTATGAAGGCTGCAGGACAAAATAAAATGCATTTATAGAAGAGGGGAATAGTTGGAAGTGGGGGTGGGTATTGAAAGTCAACTGGGAACTCAATGAACAATTTATTTATTTATTTCCCTTGCTGAGTGCTCGTCTAAAAAAAAAAAGCTTTTGCAGTAAGTTAAAGTCCCAGGTGAGCTAGGCCTAGTTCCCTTTCTGTTACTATGACAACGAATTTTTAC